CTGCCTGGCAAGCGCGAGGTCGTGAGTTCCATTCCCAGTACCAGAAAAAAAACAAAATCAAAATAGAATATGATGTTAAGTCAGTCAGACACACAAGCTCAAGTATCACATGGTTTCTTATATGAGAAACATGTATAACACACATACACACAAATAAAGACCAAAACAGAAGAGAGATAAATAACAAGTAGGATGTTCAAATACTTTCCCAAAATACAAATTCCAAACTGTTTTAAAAAAATACATATATATACACATATATGCTAATTGGTTTCATTTATACTACTGGTTTATCTTAGTTGACTGAAAAGAAAGTTTGTGTTATCATCTATTTGTTTCTTCTTTGATTTTTTTGGTTTATGTTTTGTACTCTGAGTAACTAGTATGAAGGTAACAACATATAGTGTTATCTATTGTTATTCTCTTATTTGATTACGAAATTTTGTTCTATTATTTCCCAAAATAAAACAAAAAGGAGGAAAATTCTGACAGATACAGGGATAATCTTGGGATTATGCTAAATACAATAAAGTAAACACACAGGCTGTTAATGACTCCCTTTACACAAGTTACCCCAGAACAGCCAAGTTCACAAGGACCTAGCACAGTGCAATGGTTTTCAGGCTGTGGGGAGGGAGGGCGGGGCAGCTGGGCATGTGTGGACTTTCAGTTTTGCAAAATGAAAACAGAACTCGAGATACAGACTGTAGTGGAGGCTCACACCAACATGATACACCTGGTGCAACCAAACCATACCCCCAAAAAAGGTTAGAACGACGTATTTTATTATGCCTTTTTAACTATAACCTACAAGGTCAGCTTAATGTTCACCCCCCACCCCCCGGCAGACCAAGTCTACCCTGCTGGAAGGGGAAATGGAAGGAGAAGCACCCACCGTCTCTGCTCCAAGGGTCTGCAAGCCAGTGTACGTCCTATCCAGCTGCAGAAGACAAGGAAAAGGGTTAGACCTCACTGGGTTTAGTTATAAACCTTAGGACACAATCTTACCTAAAATTCCTTTCACTACAAACCTTTAGACTGTAGGAACTACTTCCTCATGATGTGAACTGTCAATTTAATAAAAATCACTTCAATAAAAACCCCCCTTCTCTGGGGGAAAATTCAGTAAAACATATAACCACTATATTTGTGTAAATTATACAGTTCTGTAGACCTATTCTAAAGACAATCCAAAAAAGGAAGAAGTTTTACACAAAAAGATATTTACTATAGCATTACTTATACTGCAAACTACACAATATAAACATCTAGTAAAGAAGAATGCTTAAGTAAGCCACGGGTCATCATTTTGTGAGGTATGCAGTTACAAAGATGAATTTACAAAAATGTGGTGAGGAGCCGTGTGGTAGTGTACGCCTATAATCCCAGCACTCCAGAGGCTGAGGTAGGAGGAGTGCTCTGAGTTCGAGGCGCGCCTGGCCTACGCGGTGAGTTCAAGGATAGACTAGACTATATAGTGAGACTGTGTCTCACAGTACTAAAAAAAAAGTACAAATACTTTAAATGACAGGCTATAAAAATACACAATTGGATATGGCGACACATATATAAACTTAGGTATAGTGACTAAGCACTACTGAAAAACATAAAAACGGAAGTAGTACAGGCAATGCTAATTAGTTCCAATACATCAGTGTCATAAAAATTTCTTTGAGAAAAGAAAGTATACAGTAAATGGGGAGTATTAGTAATATAAACAAGATATTACAATTACATGGAAAATGGCTGTTGTGCTTCAATTTATATCTTACCATTAAAAAAAATTTGTGATAGCTTATCAATATAAAATTGCACAAATGGGGCGGGGGATATAGCTCAACGGCACAAGTGTCTGCGAGTTTTATTCCCAGTACATACATACATACATACATACATAAAATTGCACAAATGCCAGGTGCGGTGGCACATGGCTGTAATCCCAAAACTTGGTCAGGAGGATTACTGTGAATTCAAGGCCAGCCTGAACTACATGAGACCCTGTCTCAAAACAACCAAAAAAATTTTACAAATAAAATTCCACATGAGGACAGGAAAAGTACGATTAATTTGGGTAGAAAGGAAAGGAAAGATAGAGGGAAAGACTGGGATGAAGCCCTGACCAGGTTAGTAAATTCAAAGTTTCACAGGCCTGTAAGAGGTAGATGTCAAGTCTGTCTGAGTTCCTGAGAGGGCAGCTCAATCAACCAAAAATGAGACTGTAGTGCTCGGGGATTATAAAAAGCAATACAAGATGATTAACAGTATTTCCATGGGAGAGACCCGGATTTTCTTTTTTGAGACACAGTCTCGCTATGTAGCCCAGACTGGCCTTGAACTCAAAGGTGATCCACCTACCTAAGCTCGAGTGCTGGGATTACAGACGTGGGCCACCACACCTGGCTGGGTTTTCACATTTAAACCTTAGCCAAAAATATGACCATGAAAAAGTTATGGGCAGTCTTAGCTGCCATCCATTTTCCTATTCTCCAGAACATAGAAATATGGCAATAGTGCCTCTGTAATCTGTACTGATGTATGTTTTGCTCTTCTGACCAGATTTGAAGAGGGCCATTGGTAAATAACAACTGTAAACAAAACAGCAAGAGAAATCAAAAAACAGAGCACACAATAAATGTTATAGGAACAGTATAGATTTTGCCTAGGGAAGAAACTATGACATCAGGAGAGACATGGAAGATCTCACATAAATGTTTTTGAAGTCTTATATTATTTCAGAATCAAACTGGGATGATGAGATCAAAATTTCTTCAAAAGCAGTTTTAGGTAATTATGAAAGAACCTTCTGAAGTTTATTTACTAAGCAGGTTATGGAAGTGCTGTCATGGTCATGGCTTACGAACGATTCAATGACTGCTTGTCAAGGAGGTAGGATGGGAATTTCACACACTCCAGGAACTTCCAATTTATGTAACTGTAACATATACTTTACATTTAATTATATCTGACAGTATCAAAGGTACACTATTTTAAACCACAGAATTTTAAAGTACAGAGGCTCACTATGGAAAAGTTATACAGGAACTTGGAGAATGGAAGATCTTTAAGCAAGCACTGAAGGAGCGGAAGAACATTCTAAAGAGGCTCAGGGAAGAAGGTGCACGGCATCTTCAGGACACGCACTGACACGCGTGCTGGGTGGGACGCTCATGCAGGGACTGCTGTGAGATAACGGAAGGGGAGCGTGACGAGCCCAGACAGGAGGAACCCCGGGCAGCAGGCAGGGGAGTGTACATCTCAGCAGCAGGGATTCAGTTAAGTTTTCTGACAGCAGAGTAACCTAGTGGTCTTGCTGTTTGTGCTAGACTGGTCTGTGGGGGCAGGAGGGTATGGACTGAAGAGAAAGGAGACAAAGCCAGGGGACAGGAGGGCAATAGACCAGCAATGCTGGGAATGTAAGATAAAGATTACTAAGAAAGAATAATGGTCTTCAACTGAATATTCAGAACAAAGAAAGAAGAATCAAAGATGGCTCTGAGAACTAACAGACAGGACAGGGAAAATGTTATGTCCATAAAATAAAGACCTAGTCGGGCATGGTAGCGCACACCTGTAATCCCAGCACTCAAAAGACTGAGGCAAGAGGCCACGCTGGGCGACTTAGTGAGTTCAAGGCCAATCTGGGCTACATAGTGAGACCCTGTCTCAGAAAAGCAAAAAACAATAAAATAAAAAAATAAAGACCATATGGCCACAACACAGGTGTTTAAAGTCTCAGGGTCAATATACAACAAAATAAAAAAGTTGTATTTTCTAGGAAAACTGGTAAAAAGTACCTGTCATCTAAAAACATTGTCTCAAACGAAAAAGAACTATGCAAACAACTCCCTTTATGTCGTGATTAGGTGGGGACTCATTGCAGCAATTAAACTGGAATGTGCAGCAATTAAGACAGAGAGCAAAACTATTACAGATCTTCTTCAAAAGCAAAAGAACAAGTGTTCTGCCCTTCTGAGCCAACTGTCTGCACGCTCTGTAACTGATCTCTGTGCTTTTGTCAGGTCGTAAGGCCATCCGGGCACAGGAATCTCCAGAAAAACATGTGAACATCAATCTTAAGCAGTACTTGCCTATTGCTAAGATATTCTCAGCATGTCTCAGGGTTGAAACAGGTACAACTGCAGAACAGAAGCAATGAAAAAGGAATTCTACAGATGTGCTTGGCTCTATTTAGTTCACTTTTGGGAGCCATAAATGGAACAATGCAATAAATCACAAAGTAAGCGTATGAAGTATAATATTAGAATTTATAACATATATAGAGGAAATGTGTGGTCTTAGTTACTTTCCTCATCACTGGAACACAAAACCCAACACCCACAACTTAAAGGAGGAGAGGTTTATTCTGGTTCATGTTTACAGTCCATGATTAGCTGGCTTCACGGGAAGACAGAATGACAGGGTGTGGTAGAGAAGCTGCTTATGTCTGGGAAGCAGAGATCAAGGGGAGGAGCTGAGACAGGAGTTACAACCTCCCATGCCACGTCCACAGTGACCTGCCTTTCCAACTAGGCCCCACCTCCGAACATCAAGCCAGCTAATCTTACACCCTTATAATCCAATCACTTTCCAAAAGTCCCAGCTATGATCAAATGAAGCTCTGGGGGGACATCTAGATATAAACTGTAACAATGCACAAATGATATAATCTAGTGCCTATGGGACTATTTAAAAATTATCCATCTTCCAACTATAAGTGTTAGATGTTTATTATATAAAAATATAAAAATTAAAAACAAAACCCAGAAAACAGAAGAGAGTGCCCAGTGTCATTACTTCAAACATTTTGGTATTATTTCTTGCTTTTCTGACCTTTCAAAAACCACAGTTGACCTCAAATAATATAGTTTATACTCTGCTTTTTACTTACTATCATGTTAATATTTTCCCCTGTAGAAAAAATGCTTCACGAAATTTTTTTTTTTTTTTTTTGTGGGGGGACAGTTTTCAGTACTGGGAATCGAACTCACGACCTTGTGCTTGCCAGGCAGGCACTGTGCCGCTGAGCTAAATCCCCAGCCCCTGCTTCACGAAATTTAATATGTAATGGCTATACAATAAACCATATGGAAATATCAGTGAAGGATTTCTCACTGTACAAATGAAACGTATCACAACCTTGTATGAACTTTACAACTGCCGAAACGTGACTTTTCATAATCCTTGAGATAAATAGGCAATGCTTATTACTGCTTTCATTTTACAGAAAAAGATTAAAATATAACAGGTTTTTAAGGAATATACACTATGCTCCAAAGCACCTGCCTCCTCAACCTTCAGAGCATATAGCCCTAAGTAGAACATGCTCAAAATATATCTTCTACTGTCCTCCGCCACTCCCCTCTCAGAAGGCCCAGTGCTACCATTTTAAAACAGCCAGTGCAGAGAGACACCTCATTTCCTGGGAGCAATGCTTTGTTACAGTACCTTCAGATTATGTATGATGTCTATCCGCTTGTTCTGGCTGTCCTTAAAGTGCACTTGAACTCTGACAGGAAACTCACCCCAGCCTCTTCTGGTCAGGTGAAAAGGAGGCTCTCTAGGGAAAAGCAGATGTTTACAAATTCACCCATGTTTGTGCTCTCATCCTGGAGATAAAAAGTATTCTTACAATAGATAAGAAATTAAAAAAAAAAAGAAATTCATGTCCTAAAAAATCACCTAGGTTTCCTTATGTGATGCTACATCCACATGAATTTTGCTAAAATGCTAAATTATAAAAGAAAAATCCAACTCAACACTACATTAAACTTCAATTACTGAATCTTACACCTAAACCATTTTCACAGAGGAACTAAGACGACTGATGAATGTCACACTAGAGAACCAGAACCCTTGACTGGCACCTGACAGGCAGAGGCTGTGTGAGGTACATGTTCCTACCCTAGAAGCTCAGAGGTAAAGACAATAAATCATGGCTATGCTCAATTGGAAAGTGACAATTTATTTGAAACTGTCTGCGAGAGGGCTTAAAATAAAGATTGTATGTCCACAATACCATCTTTTCCACGGAGTGGCTATGATTTCAATTGGTAGAAGGGAATGTGTGTGAATGGTAAGTGGACCGAAGAATTCTTAGTTGTAACGTAATCTATGAATGGAGAAAAGGGAAATTAATGGAACAAGACTGGCAATATTACGAGTTGTGATGGGTATATGAAGGATCAATACACACATTACTTTTATATGTGTGTGAAATTTTCCGTAATAAAAAATTCAGAAATTTAAAACTGAAAAGACATATGATTTCAGTAAGGGCAGAGTTCAAGAACACAACCTGAGAGAAGTTAACAGATCTGAGTTATAAAAAAGGAGCTACGAGCCGGGCGTGGTGGTGCACACCTGTAATCCCAGCACTTCAGAGGCTGAGACAGGAAGATTGTTTTGAGTTTGAGACCAGCCTGGGCTACAAAGTGAGTTCAAGGCCAGCCTAAACTGCATAGTGAGACCCTGTCTCAAAAGGCCAAAAAAAAAAAGGAGCGACAAGGAAAGCCCAAGACACGAAGTCCTCAGTATGAGAGCAACCTAGAAAGCATAGAAAGCAACACCACATTCCAAGCCAGAGAAAAGAAAACAAAGCAGATCACTGTGTCTTGGGTGGGAGAAGCTATCTGGATGCCAGCTGAGATACAAGAGTAGCTATGATGATGGGAGAGATTCAGGTTTGAGGTCAATGAGAATGGGCAAGGATCTGAAAAGAGACCCGAGGCCCAAAACACAGGAGGCCTAAGAGCATGGTAGAGTAACGGAGTAGGGGAAAGTCTACAGATGGTGAGTTCGGTCATTTAAATTCCAGTGAAGGTAGAAGGATGGTCTGAACTCACTTTATAATATGCTTCAGTTATGTTCTTGGCACGCTACGTTTCTCTCACAACAGGAACAATAAATCGGGTATGTCCCTAATTAATGCATACAGGCTAACTTCCAGTGAGCAGACAGGCAGGACTGTGGTCAGGAAGAATGCAAATAGCGTAAAGTCAGGAAACAGGAACAATTTTTTAACAGGAAATTTCTCCATAACCATATTTTTGGAAGCAAAAGAAATCTACCAACAGAGAAGCAATTCTGTAAACCAAAAGATGTTATCACACACAAAGAAGCTCCGCCTCTCCTGAACAGAATTCAGTATTTTCACATTCCTCACAAAAAATGAAATGTACCACTGTCCAAGGTGGAAAAATCACGGAGCAAAAACCAAACAAATAAATAAATAAAAGCTGTATTAAGAAATACAGAATGGAACACAACTTCCTTCTCAACTCATTACTTCAAATGGACAACCAGTCTTTGAACAGCATGTGCAGTGACCTGAATTGACTACTTACTGAGATTCTCCATTACATCTCTGAATAGCTGCTATGAAAACACTTCCTCTATCTCCTGCATACTATAAGATATGACATTTGAAATCACAAAAAATAAATAATTTCGCCAAAAGACGACCTTCAAGAGAACTAAAACACTCCGGTAAGTTTTTTCCGGATGAGAACCTGCTTCTCTTAACAGCAGCAGCACTCAGTGTTCCCCTGACCCAAACACTGTTCGAAGTGCTATGCACCCATTAACTTACCTGAGCGGCACAACCACACTGAACTGCACCCTTCGAGACACAGTGAGGCCCAAGGGAGTAAGTAGTGCGGCCAGGATTCAAACTCAAGCAACAGTCTGCAGGTGCCACGTTTTCAACCCTGGGCCAGCCCAGGTCCCAGTGACTGTAGGTCTCAGCGCACAGACCGCCTCCTTCCTATGCACAGCGTGGCCTGCCGCTGCCCTGCTGGTGCAGGACACAGCACGTCTACTGGATGCCTACTAAAGCGGCCTAACACTGCATTATGACAGTAAGTAATTAGTTCTTACTTTCTGGTTCTTAGAAACTTTTAAATTACCCATGTGGATCAAAATACATTTTATTGGACAGTGCTATTTTAGAGTTCCTGTATTTGAGCTAAATGAAAACACACACACATATTCCAAAGAGTCTCACAAGGGGCTGGGCCTACTCTAACCTCACATATAAGGGGGCCAAGAGTACTCTATTAACTTCTCAAAGGCCCAGGGACCTTGTGTTCTTCATTTCTGCAATCCCTGCAACAAGCCCTGAACTTAGCACACATTCAGTGACTCTCTTATGCCTAAAAGCAAAATCTGCAACCACAGCTTTTAGGAAGTTGGCTAAGGGTGGTCATGACAACTAAACCAAGTATATAAAAGGCCCTTCTATGCAGAGTCTACCCATGCTCTTCATCAGATGTGATGTGATGAGGAGATTCAAAGTGCATGAGAAACACATTTGTGCTTTGATCCAAAAGTAAGATTAACCCCAAGTTTCCAAACAGCTACAATAGCCCTCTCCTATTCAAATTAATTTTGATGCTCAACACAGAAAACAGCTTTGGAGTCCTATAAAAAACATAAAGAGCTATAATTAAATCTAGGTCACATGTTAATAGTTTTATCCTACTTTATAACGGTTACACTATATCTGTAGTATTAAGTTCAATTCTAAGAAGAGTATTTTAAGAGAAATACAGAAACTGGAAGACTATATAGCCCCAATAGCAAAGGAACACAAGTCACATGAGCAACAACTGAAACACATGTGGACATTCATCTTGGAAACAAGTAGATCAACAGCTGCTTTCAAATATCTCAACAACCATTAGCTGGAAAAGGTATTATCGTAATTCTCTGCACTGTCACATGCATAGGAGAGTTCACTGCTTAGGGGTAACAGGAAGTTTGATCTCAGCTCAATTTAATTAAAACTTCCTGACAAACACAGAAAGGGCTAGGCATGGTGGCACACACCTGTAATCTTAGCACTCAGGAGGCTGAGGCAGGAGGGTGCTTGGGAGTGCAAGACCAGCCTGGGCTACAAAGTGAGCTCAGACCAATCTAAACTGCATAGCGAGACCCTGTCTCAAAAAGACAAAAAAGGGGCTGGGGATTTAGCTCAGCAGCAAAGTGCCTGCCTGGCAAGTGCAAGGTCGTGAGTTCAATTCCTGGTACCAGAACAAAAACAAAAACAAAAACAAAAAAAAGACAAAAAAAACCCAAACAAACAAAAGAAACCCAAAACAAATGAATGGCCCATTTCATGAAATTAAATAATTTATTCATCATCAAGGCCATGAAATAAACATTTACTCGATGCCAGAAACTATGCTCGATGCTGGGGAGACAAGACAGACAAGGAGCTAAGCATCAAGAAGCTCAAGATCTAGTAAGAGAGATACATACACAAAGCATTAAGTATAATGACAGCTGGGTATGGTTGCACATGCCTGCAGTCTCAACTACTCTGGAGGCTGAGGCAGTAGGATTCCAAGCTCAAGGCCAGCCTGTCAACTTGCCAAGGCCCTGTCACAAAACAACAGAACAGAACAGAACAAAATAAAAAGAGCGAGGACTGTAGCTGGGTAATGAAGTGTCTGCCTAGCACACATGAGACTCTGAGTCCCACAGTACCATAAAAAGAAACAAGAAAGTCTAATAAATAAACTATACATTATTAAAAACACAGCAAATGACTTCTCCAGTTTGAAAATCCGATGCACACAAGCAAGGTCTCTTTTAAAATAATATTTCAAAGTCCTCACTTTGTTGCCAATACAGTATGACTCACCTTGGGAAAGGTGCGCTGTGACAAGCTGTTCAGTTAAGTCACGATGGCCAATCTGTACAACACTGTCAGCGCGGCAAGGACTACCTAGTCTACCAGACTGAAAATACCTACCAGTGGCTCTTTTGATGATGTAAAACCCCCTGGATTTCATGAAACCAAGTTCATACTCTATTAGCAAAGCACAGTGCTGAGGTACAAAAGGAACGAGAAATGTGAAAGGACGCAGTGTGGGGCAATCTCTTCTTTGTACCTCCTCAGACTGCTGTATCCGGCAAAGAGATCTGCCAACCGCTTACCTGTAGTTCAGTAAATGCAATCTTACGTAATACTGCATGATTTTTTTTTTTCAATGTTAAGGCAAACGGGGTGTTTTACAAACTGTAATTCTTGCTTTGAGAATGGAGAAATAAAACAGGCATTGGTTTGTATTATTAAGAGTTTTATGTAATGAGTTTTTAATCCCACTTTTTTTTCCAAGAAAGAAAATTCTTATTTTCCAAAGAGCAAACAAAAGTTCTCAGACATCAATCCATAAAATGTAATTTATAATTGAAGTCTTTCCTTTGGCAGTCTGTAAATATGAATTCTAAGTGCACCTAAACGAAGAAGTTCATTTTCTGTTACTCCCAGGTGGCCCTTGGTGGACAGAGCGCAACCCTTCTCTGGAAGCCCAATCAGCCTCTCCTTGTGGGGCAAGGCGAGGCAGGGCGAGGAGGGCGCAACGGGACGGGGACCGAAATGGAGGCTGAGAGGGCTGCCGCCTCCTGCTCACGAACGCTGTATCTGCCACCGCATCGGCAGCTCAGAGGAAGAACCACCAGGTCCTACTCTTTCTTCAACTCTTCTTTCCCCAGAACCTTCCAGGCCTGACCTACCTTGATGAACTTCACCCGAGGCTCCTCCAGTGTCTCTGCCTGCGTGGCTGTGCCCTGCTTGTTGGGGTGATACATTACTATGAGTTTCTGATACTTTTGTTTTAGGTCTGACACCTCAGCAGATGGGTCCAGCCCCTGAGCGATGTACCAATCCTTTGGTATCCATGCCAATGCCATCATCCCTCAAACTAGAAGTGGGTTCTCTCAGATCAGCACTTGGAAGAGTGAAGACAAGAAGTATAGCAAACACCGCTCGAGAACTGGAGCGCAGAGGTGGCAGCCCAACCTTTCCGAGGCGCCTGGAGGAGCAGCCGCCTCCAATGAGCCTGTGAGGCTCGAGCCCAGGGTCTGGACACGGGCGACCCTTCCTGCAGTGCCCACTCACTGCGACCCAGGGCCCTACCACGGCACTTCCACTCCTCAAGAGCCCCTAGGCTCCATCCAGGCTCCCCACGGCCTCCAGCGCAATCGTGTCCACCCTAATCCCACTTTTTGTAAATGAGAAGCTTTATCAATAAAAAATATGCCTAAAAGCTAGGTGTGGTAGCACATGCCTATAATCTCGGCACTTGTGACACTGAGGCAGGAGGCAAGCCTGGATTATATAGAGAGACTCTGTCTCAAAAGAAATTAGTAAAATAAAAATTTTTAGTATGCTTAATGAATTTTAACTGACTCACATTATTCTCATTAAATAAAATGTTTTCCTAGGACAATGAACTTTTGACTTAAAGAAATGTCTTATTGATCTGAACACTGAAAAATATGTTAAAACATTTTTATAGATAGTGCTCTTTGCTTACTTTTTTTTTTTTTTTACTTTTCTTTTTTGGGTACCAGGAATTGAGTTCAGAATCCCATGCTTGCCAGGCAGGCACTGCACCACTGAGCTAAATCCCTAGCCCGCCCCCCTTTTCTTGGAGACAGACCCTCACCATGGAGTTCAGGCTGGCCTTGAACTCAATATGTAGCCCAGGCTGGCCTCAAATTCACTCCAATCCTCTTGCCTCAGCCTGCCAAGTGCTGGGATTACAGATATGCACAACCATGTCCGGCAAGAGAGCACTTTTTAAACTTGTCTATTTCTTAAACTCACTAAAATATCTTTAAAATACTGTATTTATTTAGATTTATGATATTTAAGTTTAGAAAATACTGTTACTCTATAAGCTACTGTTGCACTATAAAATACGGTCAACTGCCCAAGCGTTAGAGCAAACAACCACTTACTATAATTTAACTGTGGAAGGAAGGAGGACAGAGGAATTCACTGGGAAAGTAACTTCTGACCTGTGTCTTGAGAAGACAGCCCCACTGCGGTGCAGGCAGGTGTGTGCCCAGGTCTGCATGCTGTATATGAAGAGGGACGACAGGGAGGAAGATGGTATCCAGGCAAAAGACAAGCCCAGGCTACCTGGGGTTTTCTAGACAGGGTGGTGTGAGCTCTATGGGGAGTTTCTAAAAGGATTCGTGCATCAGGTATAAATCTACACCAAATCACAGACAAGGTCATTCCAATACTAATGTCTCATCAATTAAATGTTATCGTAGGAACAAAAATAAACAGGTGTTTTTGAGACTCGATCCAGTGAAATATGTCATTAAAATGAAGGAAATTTTATGAGCAGTGGAAGGGGAAAGAGTCTCATTTGCACTGGACTCTTATATTGATTTATCCTTTTATGTAGAGAAATGACAAAGCTCTATTATCATTTAAAAAAAGTTATAATCAAGCCAGACAGGGTAGTGCACACCTATAATCCCAGCACTCTAGGAGGCTGAGGCAGGAGAATTACAAATTCAAAGCCAGTTTGAGAACTAAGTGAGACCATGTTTCAAAATAAACTATTTTTAAAAAGGGTTGGGAATATAGCTCAATGCAAGGCCCTGGGTTCAATCCCCAGTACCGGGGCAAGCAGGGGTAGCAGTAATTATGACTTCAGTACAGTTCTGTTCTGTAAATAGACAATGTGATTCCAAAGTAATCTGAACAAACATGTATACTCAGGAATGGGCAAGAAAAAAACTTTAAATTAATAAGACCATATACTATGAAATACAGAAAATGCTACTAAGCAAATCAAGCATAATAGTATAATGCCGTTATAGGAAATAAATATTACTGACCAGGTCTAGAACCAAGTCTGTTATGTGCAGAGTGTGTATTAGATGTGGAAAAAGAACGGATCAGTTGCTAGCTGAAGTACCTGTTATCCATATGAAGACGAGAAACATACTGCACGTATCCACCTATAAAAATCTCATTTCCAAGCTGGGTGTGGTAGTGCACACCTTTAATCCCAGCACTTGGGAAGCTAAAGTGGGAAGACTGCTGAGCTCAAGGCCAGCCTGAACTACATGGTAGCAGGATCCTGTCTCAAAAAACCAAACCAAACCAATCTCATTTCCAAGCGTTCCTCTTCCAAACCACCAACTTTTCCAGCTCCATTCCCTGAATGTCCCTAGAATTTGCAATCCTTGCCACATAAACTTCACTATCCACCTCTGCTCTCTTTCCTCAGCTTAGAGTCTATCACAAAAATAACCCACTCATTAAAGTGAGAAAGACAAGAGCCCACGGTTCTCAGTGAGGAGCCTACACAGGTGTCAGCGGCTGTAAGGCTGAGGACAGACCACTACTGGCAGAGACAAATGAGTGTGTTCTGAAAGAGCAGATCAGTGGATAACTGCAACGAAGGAACAGCAGGACTTTTCCAGAACTGAGGTTCTTAGGAAGGGAGCAAGGTGGCCTGGAAACCACAAACAGGACCAGGAAGATGCCTGCCCTGTTCCCAGACCCCGTGGTACAGGTGTGAGGAGACAGAACAGCCTCCACTTGGAAAGCGTTCTCAGAACACAATTATGCTTGCGCTAGGAGTCAGGAGTGAAGGGATGTCTGGTCAGAGCCGAGGGCGTGGGAGATCTCCCAGAGGATTCCCCAAACCAGCTCCACAGTGCACTCAATGACAGCAGGTATGGTGCGCAACACCACAGAGATGTAAAGGACGCAGCTGCACGGTATAAGCCAACTCCACAGGAGCACATACATGATCAGCCCATCCTTGTGAAACAACAACTAGAGCAGGTCAGAATATGTACAAGAAAAGCATCAGTGGGGTACTGCTGACAGGGTGAGATTAAGGGAAACTCTGGACATTATTTCTGGAATGTTACACACATTAAATACCACATTGTCTCTCTGGTGTCAGAAGCTGAAAGTGTAAATAAGAACCAAAGTATGTAACAGAAATTGTGAAATAGGAAGAAAATGTTCAAAAGGAAAGGGGAACTAGGGAGGTGGGAGGGAGAAAGGGAAAAAGAGGGGAAAATCCCGTATTAACTCTACTAGACATAAAAAATGGTGAAGTTTTATATGTATCTCTACCTGTATAAACAGTATCTATGGAGGGGAGCAACAAGCTAGAATAATCAGTATGGTGACAAACCCGACAGCAGGTGATGGCCACCCCAGGGAGACGGGAACGTGCAAGAGGCAGAGCTACAACTCTACCGCGACTAAGAGCCAACACTAAGTGAGTTATTAAAATCACAAGATTTCCCATGGAATGTTCTGAAGTTAAACCCGTTCTCACACTTCAGTAACTAATTCTTAGGCTACATAGTTCAAGTGTGCTTACCGAACTTCGACAAGGTCATTTGGTTTATAGCTGGGATGAAGGAAGAACCACACTTTTTTGACAAAATGATTAATGCTGGGTTCTCTACGGGACCCTCGCACATACACCATCCACTTATGGGTTGACTGGTCATTTTCTTCTCTCTTATCTGGCGGGATATACCTGCAGGAAGGCAAAGAACAAGAAAGGAAGCTGAATTCTTTTTTCCTTCAAAAACCTAACAATAATAATAAACTATTTAAAACAAGATGAAGAGCCAGGTGTGGTGGTGCACGCCTGTAATCCCAGCCCAGCACTCGGGAGGCTGTGGCAAGAGGATTGCTGCAAGTTCAAGGTCAGCCTGGGCCACAAAGTGAGCTCAACACCAGCCTAAACTGCACAGGGAGATTCTGTCTCAAAAAGACAAACAAAAAAAAGAACAAACCAAAAAACAAGGCCAAGCATGATGGCACACACCTGTAATCCCAGCACTTGGAAGGCTGAGGCAGGAGGATCTTTGTGAGTTTGAGGCCAGCCTAAAATGCATAGCAAGACCCTGTCTCAAAAAGACCCCCCCCCAAAAAAAGAACAAACCCCAAAACAAGGCCAGGTGTGATAGTACACACCTATAATCCTGGCACTCAGGAGGCTGAGGCAGGAGGATCTCTGTGAGTTTGAGACTGGTCACTGAACTACATGAGACCTTGTCTCTAAAAAGAAAAAAAAAAAAACCTGAGAAACAAGAACAAACAAAGTATCTTTGTAGTTAATCATTTCATATTTTCTTTCTAAAATCTGTTTTTTTTTTTCGTCTAAGAGGCATCACCCAAAAGTTTTGTTTCGTTTTCTGATTATCAGTCTGAGATTAAAAGAAAAAAAAATCAAACTTGCTTTTCCTGTCAAGTGGGTATGTGAGGTGGAAATAAACGGGCACAGTTTTATTCCTGGGTTATAGAGCCTCTAGTCTTAGGGCTGACTTCAGCCAGATTTCAGAGGGGTACAACATCGGGCCCTTCTGGTACTGAAGCAGCACTGCCCAGAAGGCTGTACTTGGTTTCGTACCCTCTAAGAGTCCACAGGAGCCGCTCCAAGCTCCAACCATAATAAAATTAGCCACGGGGCCTTGACCTTTAAGGCAACTTAACTACTGTAACTGCTTTATTTTCAATAACTAAATCTAAACACAATTTTCACAGTTCTATCAATTTGTTCACCAACCAAATGTTTACTGAACATCAAGTACTACAAGTTAGAAACAAGACCTAGTTCCTACTCTAAAGAGATTCTAGGAAAAAAATATGAAATTAGGAAATAATATAAAAATGACAAGACAAAAACAGAACCATACTTAATGAAAAGATCTGCAAATAAAATTTCATAAGGAAATTAGTTAAGACTGCTACTGTTTAAAATCTTGGCCACTATGACCAACTTTTTCCCAACAACTTAATCCCATCTATGTATGTGTATCTGCACAAAATATTTACATAGCATAACATTCCCATTAAAATAGCCAACCCCAGACATTTGACAAAAATGAAGACAGCATGAGATCACACTGCTAGAGACAGCTCTCTACCTTGGAGGAACAATGCCTTCAAGAAGTGCTTGCAGGCCGGGCACGGTGGCGCACACCTGTAATCCCGGCACTCGGGAGGCTGAGGCAGAAGAACCCCTGTGAGTTCGAGGCCAGCCTGGGCTATAAAGTGAGTTCAATGCCTGTCTGAACTGCACAGTGAGACCCTGGCTCAAAAAAAAAAAAAAAAGACCTGCTCCACAACCTTCTGTTTCACCTTTAAAACACTTGTTTGGGCAGGCAAATCAACATTTTTAGGAGTTAGCTAAGGCCTTTATGACAGAACTGGGTTAGAAGTCGAAAGTTCCTCCAAATTTACAGCTTTGATGAAATATGTGTATAAGAGCTCATGTCTCAGAAATCTTTACCACGTACAACTTTATTCTAAGTCAAAGACTGGCAGACACATGAAAACAGGGTCTCCAGTCTTTGGATCATGATTTACTTTTGAAATGATTACAAGTTTGGGAAAACTATTCTCTGTGGACTCTTCCTACTGTGATACTAGGGTAATACGAAGTATTCATGCTGAAGCGTCCATGTGTATGGACTACTGCAAATGAGACCCTGTCTGCTCTGTTCTCAGGTCACAATGACTTGTAAGGTTTAAACCTCTTTGGCTCTCCGGTAGGGTCACTAAGAAGACTCTAAGTTAGATTCCGAAGAAAACAAAGGAAGAAAAAAGTCAAAGAAATCCTGTTTCAACACAAAAACAAGGGGCTAGGGATACAGCTCAGTGGCAAAGAGCCTGCCTGGCAAGCGCAAGGTCCTGAGTTCGATACCCAGTACCAAAACAAAAGCAATCTACCAACCAAACTCAAAATAATAAAAAAATAAAAATCAACAGTAAATGGATTCCCAGGGAGAATAATCCGGAACTCCTAAGGTTTCCTTCCTATCTACGTGAAAGACATCCCCCATAATTAGCATCTTTTACAAACTCTGTGAGAAAATGTAAGAGATTACTGTACTGCCTCTTCTCCAGTGACATTCTGGAGCCACCATCCTCCCATCACCTCTGAATATTCGTGGGTACAGCGCAAGGCAGAAGTGTACTGCACAGAGTAGCCCAACAGAGGAAAGTATCCCAGTGAAAACCAGCAGACCCAGATTCAAAAGGACTTTGCTCACTCTAAGTCAGTCTCCGGACCACAGGTTACTTGTGAAAAAGCACTGGTGAGGCCTCACACCACTGCAATACTATAGAAAAGGAGCATTGCCACATTCACCACAGGGCGTAACCTGGTCTCGCTCTGGAGCAACTCGAGCAACTCTGAACCTCCCACCGGTACAAGCTGGAGGGAACCTATCAATGCCAAAGTCTTAATATAAACAGACAGCTGAAAATGAGACGATTCAACCAATACTCACTTGGACACATTGCCTACTACTATTGTTTTCTTCACAAAAAGCCGTGAAGTCTCCTCTCCTGTTAGATCAGCATTCTGCTGTTCTGTTTTATGGGAGCCAGTAACACTAGAAGAGTCCTGAAAGAAATCATAATCAGTGTCAGTTTTCATTCTGAACAACTTTCAACAGGATAGAAGCCACAAAATCATAAAAGGTATGGATGAGATTACTCAGAATTTTTTTTTAATTACAAAATTCTCTGGCTTTGGGGTATACCTCTCAAAGCATGAAAAAATAGTTCATTACAAGTGTTGTACTAATTTATATAAAAGGTTGTGTACTAAAATTCCATGTATTTTTAACCTTCATATACATCTGCAAGCAGGATATGGCAAGATACCCAAGAAACTACTACACTGGTTATCTCTGGAAAATGGAAATGAGAAAAGGGGTCAGTGAAATTTTCTTTTTAATCTAGAGTGTTCCAAAATTTTCACCTTGCATGGTGGGGAACACCTATAATCCCAGCTTTCAGAGGCTGAGGCAGGAGGATCACTGCAAGTTCAAGGCCAGTCTTGGCTTCACAATGAGTTCAAAGCCAGCCTGAACTACACAGCAAGATCCTGTCTCAAAAAGCAAAACAAAATTCTAATAAGAATACAAATACAATGATTAAAGGTCAGACTATAGTGACAGACTGTCAGGGCTCAGATGCTGGCCCCTCCATGACTAATGTATAATCTTGGATAATGATTCTCTCTGCCTCAATTTCCTTAAACAGTGTTAACATGTTAATTCCTATTTTATGACTGTTTTGTATAGTTTCTAGGAAAGTGCATGGTATACAATAAGTATTAAATGTCTGTCATATAAATATATAAAAATGACCACATATTGTATAAAAGTTTTTAAATCCTGTGAGTAGTATGCATGACCTAAATTGTTTTTCTTACAAAAGAAAAACATTTATAAGAGTTGCTCAGAAATAATTCTAGAAAGACATAAGTAAATTCAAACGTTGAGAATTCTGAATTTTTAGCTGGGCATGATGGTGCACACTGGTAATCCTGGTACTGAGGCTGAGGCAGGAGGACTATGAGTTTGAAGCCAGCTTGGGCTATACAGCAGGTTCTACAAGGCAAGACCCTGTCTTGAGGGGAAAAAATACAAACAAAAAGATCTGGTTTTTAACTGTCAGCACTATGAATGACTTTATAGAAGTTATTTATTTTTTTTCCTTTTTGTACTTCACAATTTTCAACAATGAACACATACGGATTTATAATCAGAAAAAAAAACTTTTAAGGAAAACCATCAAATATTTGATGCCTAAGGATGCAGAGAGCAACCGGGAAACATGCCCCACCCCAGAGTACAGGCTGAGAAAGCCACAGGTCCGACCCAATAGTGACTCTACAGACACAACAGCCTGGCAGGGGATTCAAGTTCAAAAGGTGGCAGGGGGCTGGGGATATAGCTCAGCAGCACAAGCGCCTGCCTGGCAAGCACAAGGTCCCAAGTCCAATTCCCAGTACCCACCCCCCGCCAAAAAAAGGTGGCAGGGCCACACACTAGGAAATTCATTCTTTTTAACATTTACTCCAGTTCCTGCAGCACCTGAGAATATACTCTCACAGAGGAAACTGCTTAGGAGCAACTTGAAAGAATAAACATGAGCCGAGCACAGTGGCACACGCCTGTAATCCCAGCATTCAGGAGGCTGAGGCAGGAAGACTGCTATGAATTTGAGGCCAGCTTGAATTTGAGGCCAGCTTGAACTACACAGTGAGTTCAAGGCCAGCATGAATACAGGGTAAGACCCTGTCTCAAAAAAAGAATAAACAGGAGAGCAGAAAGGCCTCTGACAAAGCACTGCGCTGCCAGCATCTAAAGGGTTCTTTCACGTGGACCTGGACAACAGCCAGGAACCGTCTGCACACTGGAGCCTTAAGCTCTAAAAGCAGGGACAGGTTTAAATCTCAGTTCTGACATTTTTGGGCACACACAACTCTGACTCATCAAGACTCAGTTTCCCCACTCTAAAAGGTACACACCTTACACTACACTTGCTAGGGTACCTGTGAAGTTAAATGAAACAAATATTGGTTCCCTTCTATCATTCCCTCCCTCCTCCAACTCTACCCTTCCAGCACTGCGGCTTGGCCTCTGCTCCACGCTGTTTGAGAGTCTTTCCTCCATATCCACGTTGCTGCTATTATCTTTGTCAGATAAGAAGTCATTGTGTTGCGATAAAGAATCGCTTTCTGAATGATTAGCTGATGGCGTTTCTGATCGCTGATTGGTAGGAGATGATGACCTAGATGGTGATTCTAAAAATTTCTTGATAGCAGGATGATTAAAAACCATTGTATCACATGTCTTGGATCCCTAGAAAAAAATCAAAAGAAAGCAAAATTTAACCCAACTCACCAAAAGTAGGCAAAAACTAGATCTCTCTAGAACATTTAGCTATGTCAGGATCATTTTAAAACCGTTCAGAATCTTTGCACACCCATAAAATGAAATCCAAACCTCTGATAATGTGCATCATCATCATCAACAGCAAAAAACTAGAACAACAGTTGGGCAAAATTTCTAACACTAAAAGCTAAAGATGTGCAGTCTTCTGAAGATAAATGAGAAATATATACAATTATGGAAAGTAAGATTTGACTTTAGAACCATTTAGTCTCACATAACTTTACACAAAAACATCACTCACCTGCTCAAAACAAAACATCCCTTTTAGAAATATAAAAAAAGGATATAGTATAAAATAGTGGTGGCAAACCTATGGCACATGTGCCCACTGGGCACACAGAGCCCTCTCTGTCAGCATACATGCCAAGAGTATGAGTTGTTTTTTTTAAACTAAAACCTCAGTATTCAGGGTTAATTTGCACTGTTGGCACTTTGCGATAAGTAAGTGGGTTTTAAGCTGTAGTTTGGGCACTCAATCTCTAAAAGGTTTGCCATCACTGGCATACAACATGACACCCACAAGAAGTAAAATGTAAGAGTAAATGCTTTAAAATCATTAATACTAATGTACAAAGTTTACCCACAACCTAGTACAGAAGCCTAGGGCATTTTTCTACATCTTAATTACTTTCAGCCAAAATCTGATGTGTCCATTTTAATGTCATACACTGTAGTTATGTTTGTAGGAAGCCTACCTTGTTTTGTTTTGTTTTTTGTTTTGTTTTTCTGAGGTAAGAGTCTCTCTCTATGTAGTTCAGGCTGACCTTGAGCTCACTTTGTAGTCCAGGATAGCCTCACACTGGCAACAATCCTCCTGCTTTAGCCTCCCAAGTGCTGGGATTACAAGTGTGTGCCACCACGCCTGGCTCTAAACTTACCTTTTAAAAATGTATTAAAAATGAAAAGAAAACTATATTAAAACTGTTTTAGTGAAAAGGAGCAAAAGACCTGTGTTTAAAAGCAACAAAGTTCTTAATTTTCAATAATAAAGGTTTCTCAGAGCTATGTTTTGTTACTGTAAGCTAAAAATAAAAAGCTGACCCTAACAGTAAAAGCAGCCAGGTGTGGTGGCACATGCCTATAATCCCAGCACTTGGGAGGCAGGAGGATTCTTGCGGGTTCAAGGCCAGCCTAGGCTACAAAGTGAGTTCAACAGCAGCCTGAACTGCATAGCAAAACCCTGCCTCAAAAAAAAAAAAAAAAAAAAAAAAAAAAAAAAAAAAAAAAAAAAAAAAAAAAAGGAAAACAGCAAAAGCATACCTCAATACCCTTGAATAAATCCTAATCAGAACACAGCAGTCTAAAACAAGTACTCTTCCAGACCATCAAACAGCATGGATCAGAACTGCTAATGGTACAGTAACAAAACCTTCAACAAATAACTAGCTCTTCAAACAGACTGGCTGCCTACACTGCATCTCACATCATGCAGATGCTAGCTCTTGAAGTCCATTCTAGTGAACCTCCTATTGAGCTACATAAAACATAACATCATAGTCTGTGTTGGGTTGAACGGTGTCCTTCCCAAATTCATGCCCACCCTGAATCTCTGAGAGTGACTTTATTCAGGAACAGGTCAAGAGCCAGTGGGGTTGCTGAGTGGTAGAGCATGTGCAGAGACGCATGAGGTCTTGGGTTCAGTCCCTAGCACTGAAGGTGGGGGGGGTCTTATCAGATGTAATCAAGTTATAATGAAGTCATACTGGACAGTAGTAAACCCTAATCCAAGACATCCTGAAAGAAGGCAACTTAGACACAAAAAGATTCAGGAAAGACACACAGAAAGAAAACACACATGTAAAGTAAAAGGCAAGTTCCTCCAACTCAGCAGCTAGTAAAAGGTAAGAGGAGTCTTCTCCAGAGCCTGTAGTGGGAACACTGCACTGCTGACACTTTCACTTTGGACTTCTAGCTCCCAGAGCTGTGGGGTAATAAGTTCCTATTGTTTTAAGTCACCAAGCTTGTGGTAATTTGTTATGAGAGCCCCAGGAAATGAATATAGATTCTAACGGACATTATGGGAGGCTGAGAGAGGAAGATGACAAATTCGAACCCTACCTGGCAACTTAAGTGATTTAGAGTGATCCTGTCTCAAAAAGTAAAAAGGACTGAGGATGCAGTTCAGCTTGAAAGCGCTGAGTTTAATCAAGAGACAGACAGAGGAGAGATAGGCAGATAGGGGGAAAAAAAAGGAACAAACTACCAAATATAACCCATGGACCTTGATGGGTCCTGGTCCAAAAAAAAAAAAAAAAAAAAAAAAAATCAGCTTAACATTTTGGGAGCAACTAGGAAAATCTGAGTTTAGACTAGTTATCAAATAATAGAAAATGCTTTGCTTGGATATTATTATTACAAAGAAGAATATCATTTTTAAAAATGCATGTTTGCATGCTTCGATAATTAGAAATGAAATGTAATGACGCCTGGAAGTTCCTTGCAAATGTTTTAAAGAAAAGTAAGAGAAAATACGGCAAAATGTTAAAACTGTTGAGTCTAAGTGGTATACACCAGGGTGCTTATTTACCCTTTTCTGCACGTTTGAAATCTGTCATAAAGTGCAGGACTTGCAGAACGAAGTAAATTGAAAACCAAAAACTGCCACCACTAGAGTAAAAGGTAGGAGGAGACGTAGTCATCTATCACTTCCTCCAGAGCAGGCACAGTCAGGTGAGCAGCGGCTGGGCAAGTCCCGGGGGAGCCCCACTTACCTCTGCATCCTTATGGCCACGCGTAATACTAACAATTAGGAGGAAAAGGGTTAGTAAGAACAAAACAAATGTGACTTAGGGTTATTGACAACAAAGAGAGATGACTAAAGGACCACAACTGAACACAGTAAGTCTGTGTATTTTCCTAGACAGGCAGGCTAGGTTTCTCAAAATCTAAAGGCCTTTCCACCCTGACGTAACTTCCCCACTTGTAACAAATACCAGCACCTGGAAAGCGACTGGCTGCAGGGATTACTTACCTCGGAAACTTTTAGAAGCCCTGCAGACGCATAGTAATTTGCTACAATGCAGGCCCGCAGTTTGTCCATCATCCTCCGTGCTTCGATCAGCCGCTAAAACAAGGGTTAACTCATTACTTTAACATACAGCAATTGCAGGACCAGGGATATAGCTCAGGGGCACTACATCTGCCCGGCAAATGCAAGGTTCTGAGTGACTCCTGATACCAAAAATAAATAAATAAAATAAAATAAAATAAAATACAGCAATTGCAAAATACAGTGATTCACAAAATAAGAAATGCAAATGAAGAAAAAAGGCTCAACTTCTCTAATAAAGAAAAGCAAAGAAAAAATGACATTTGTGACCTATCGGACTGGCAAAGATTTAAAAGACAAAAATGTGATGCAAGGTAGGAAGACACACTAACAGGTATCTGTAATGAGCACCTATAACCCCAGCACTGCGAGGCTGAGACAGGAAGACTGCAACAAGTTCAAGACTAGCAAGACCGACTACATAGTGAGATCCTGTCTCAAAAACTAAAACGACAACAAAAAGTGTATGATTCATTAGACATACCCACAGAAACACTGAGCACAAGAGCAGAGGGATTCTGTTTGGGGATGGAATTTGAGGTGCTAGTTTTCTGTATTTTTTTTCCCCTTAATTTCATTTTTGTTAAAAATAATTTTTTTTCTCTAAAAAGCTATTTTTTAAAAAGAACAGCAAAGGCAAACCATGATTCTGTCTCAACGGACTGCTTTTTCCCATTGCTTTGGTGCTTCTTCAATGTACTGTCATTTACCTGGTCAATAACTTCAATCTCATGTTCCTTATTCTTCATTTCAAGCGCAAACTGTTCTTTGATAATAGTCTCAATCTTCTGCACAGCAGCATCTCGAGCTGCAAAGAACACAAAACACCGAGGCCCAATTAATCCACAGTTGTCCCAATTTAAATCAGCAAGCACAAGAAACACAAGAAACAGTAACTGTGAAGTGGAGAAACCTAGCAGATAAACGCTCAGTCAAGTGACGGGAAGTTAAAATCACTGATACTGGGAACAAGCTGACCTCATGCACTTTCTGGCATGATGCACTAAGACCACTACATCACTGATATTCTTGCCACAAATGCTACCACCTAACAATGGAGGTGCACACCTGTGATCTTTGCTACATGGGAGGCTGAAACAGAAGGTTCTCAAGTTTGAGGCCAGCCTGGGCAATTTAGTGAGATCCTGCCTCAAAACAAAACAAAACATCTAACAACAAAGAGCTGGAAATACAGCCCAGTGGTAGAGTGCTTGCCTAACATGTGCTAGGCCCTCGGTTCATCCCCAGGACTGCACTGCTCACAATGAAACATCAGACAAAACCAGGATGAAGGGACACTCCAAAAAATAACTAGCTCATATCATTCAAATATTGAAGTCAAGAAAAGATGGCCAACCAGCTGGGCGTGGTGGTGTGTGACTGTAATCCCAGCATTCAGCAGGCTGAGACAGGAGGAAATTTATTCCAATTCCTATAAATCTTAAAGAGTGGAGGCAAATGTCAACAGAGAAATAATTCCCAAGGGAGTTAATTTCTACCTGAACTCTCGATTGCTTTACGCCGCTTATTTGGAAGGGCCACAGATACATCCTCATAATCAGGGTCGGTTTCTTTGATCGTTCGCTTGATGCCAGACATGATGACTTTCGGTTCTTCACTGTGAAGTAATAATAAATTAATAAACAACACAATATACTACTAGTGCAATGGCAAGCAGAAACACCCAAATATCACAGGATTTGGAGGTAGGTTTATTTACATTGTTGGGCACTGATCAGGCCCAAAATATCAGGCCCTCATTTCTAGTGGTGTAGGGCTTATATGGGAGAAGCAAGCAGGAAGTACAGAGGCAGAATGGTTCATCAATTGGGGGTTGGTTCTTACAATACGCACCAGTGACCAGCGTTTCTAAGACAGAAGCTGGAACAGTAACTATCACCTGGGCAACTAAGAAACTGAAGTACACTGGCAGGGGGAAGCCATTTCCTGTTACACTAGCCTTTATAAATGCATGTGTGTGTACATAAAATGGGAGTAAATATTACATAATACTGGCATTTATGTTTATGTGTATGCATGTTGAGCATTCCTTATTTGAAATATTTGGGACCAATGTTACAGATTTCAGAATCCTTCAGATTCGGGAATGTCCACACAGACCGCTTAGGTTTAACATCTGTAATCCAAAAATCTGAAAACTGAAACTTCTTGAGCATCAGGTCAGTACTCAGAAGTTCCAGATCTGAGAGCACTTCAGAATTGGATTTTCAAGTTAGGGATGATCAACTAAGCATATACCCTCTTTTGAAGCAAAAGAGTAAGTTTAACAGTTTCCAAAAAAACCTTTCATCAGCATGGTCACCTGTTAGAAGCACGGGTTTCTCTTTCATGAGAAAATCTAGTAAGGTGGCACACTGCTCAGACTTTTCAAATGGAGCCTCACTTTAGGAGGACTCACACAAGAAAAGGAAAGAAGCTAGACTGAGGAAAGCATCTGAAACCACACAGCATACTGGAACTGACAATGCCTTCATGAGCATATCACAAACATGAATGATACAATTAATGACTCAATAAATACTTTATTATACAAACTCTGGTAATTATACCAAGCCCACTGCATAGCAGATACTCAATAAATAATACAACTGTACTAATCATTTCCTATTACTCATAATAAATGTAAGCTATACACTTATCGCTATGTTTTGGATCTGAAATGTCTCCTTCCCCATCAAGGTTATTTCAAAAAGTACAAAACTCTCTTATCTAATTTCTCTAAAGTCTTAGGCCAGGCATGGTGGCACACGCCTATAATCCCAGCACTCGGGAAGCTGAGGCAGGAGGATCCAGGAGGATCTTTGTGAGTTCAAGACCAGCCTGGGAAACAAAGTGAGCTCAAGGCCAGCCTGAACTGCATAGTGAGACCCTGTCTCAAAAAGAAAAAAAAAAAAAAAAAAAAAAGAATGAAAGTAATTTCTCTTAAGGTCTTAATTAAAAGTACTGAGCAGCGCCTCTTCTTCCAAGGTGCTGCTTTTGACAAAAGATGCAATCTATCCTCGAGTTCAGAGATTTCTACCCCTTCCTAGGGAAGAAATGGTCAGTGCTTCTGCTTCCTTCTGATAAATTTCATCCTCGACCATCACACGCTATCATTCCCTACACATCTTCCTAGAAACTTGGTTGTTGGATGCACTTTTCATCTGGCAAAAATCCAGTGTGGCTTTGCGTAGGATGTTTGTGTCAGAGCAGCAGTGTTGATGTTCTGGTTTTGAGGGAAAATACAGTAAGATACATTCATATTCCCTGGAAGCACCAACTACAGAGACTGGGGTGGGTGCGCAGAGGTGACGGCCGGCAGCTTCTGCTTGCTTGGAATTCTGGGAGGTCACCACTAGAGTTCTAAGGGTGGGCCGGAATAGCAGTCTGCAAAGGGCTGAGTTTTCATCTTTCTGATCTGAGTGCATCTGCACAGAGCGCTCAAGAAGGACAGGGATGGATCATCGAGGTAAGCGCCACCAAAGTCCTGTCCACCAGGGCCTGGGAAGAGAAAGACGGATCCTGGTAAGAGGTGCTCCCGCCTCTGGCTCACCTAGGACCCCATGGTGTGCAAAGCCAAAAGGAAATTCAGAAGCAGCATCACTCGGGCTCATCTGGAAGCTGGGTGGCCATGTCCAAGAGGGCAAAGGTTTACCTGGTACGGTACACCTTGATAATCTTCATGTGGTCTATGGGGCGGTCCTGGGAGTTGGTTTCCACCAGCCCCATGTGAGTCACCATGCAAAGATGGTGTTCTTGCCATCAAGCCACTGGGTGGGGGCAAGGATCACAAAGAACTGGTTGCCATTGGTGTCCAGGTGTGTGTTGGCCATCGTGAGGGTTCCCGCCCCGATGAACTTGAGGCTGGGATGAAGTTTATCTTCGAACTGTTTACCATAGATAGATACACCACCTCAACCTGTCCCTGTCAGGGCTCCTCCCTGGATCTTGAAGTCCTTGATGATTCCGTGGAATCTGGTGTTGTAATAACTACGCCAGACCAACTCAGGGAAGTTCTCACAGGTCTTTGGCAGGTGCTTCATGTTCATTTGTATTTCATTTTATTCTTACTTATGAAATAAAACAAAACCCTTCTAACTTCTGCTGTAAAACGGGAACTAGAAGGGAAAAAAAGAATTTGGAGGAGAGGGATTAAGCAGGAAACCACCAATGAGCTAACTTGCACTGCAAAGGTAATTTATTTTTCATGCAGTCATTGAAATACAGCTTTTCTTGTTATCTCTGGGTGTATCTAAGCTTCCCATAAAAATGCATAAGGAAGATTTTGTGAGTAACTCACGTCCGCTTCTGACTGGCAAGAACAATACTAATGTATACATGTGTCTCATTCAAGTAAATGCTAGTGTGGCCACATGCGTCTACAGATGTGTGCTCCCCCATGATGTAGTGAGTGAGTGCTGGAAAGTGGGACAAATGACCACTGATAGCATTAGGATCTGGATTCTTGCCTGACTTAGATTTATGAAAAGGACATGTGAGCAGCTGTCAGGTATAGTCAGCTGTACTTTGAAGCAAAATGTCCTATAATAACCCTCTGTATGTTTTGAATCTGTGCAAACTGAAAAGAATATTCAGATGGTAATGGAAACTCTTCAAACAATCTGTTACTCTGTGAGAATGGATTTTCTCTATACTATGGGACCAAAACCAAATACAGAAATAAATGAAATGCTGGAATGAAAATATGACTGTAATCTGCTCCTCCATTTAAAATTTGTATCTCACTATTAAAACCAAAGGTTGTCAGTTTAAACTTAGAAAATAAATGTTTCAATCTCATAACCCAAAGTAAGTAATATTTTAGAGCAGTAAATGACACCATTTAAACCTACCGTTCCCACTCAAATAATACATGAGTCTGAGTTCCTGACCAAAGTTAAAGACCAAAATCATTTTAAAAAATGCTTTAATGTCCTACAGTGTAAAATAAACTCTTGGAGACTTCCAGGAAGATGGTGGAGTGGTGAGCAGCAGAGAAAGAGCCTCTCTGAGATTTGGTGTCCAGACACTGGAATACGGCAACATGAGGGAGAGAGGGAGGGAAGCGGGTCCCAGGACCAAGAAGGATCTGAAGCAAGAACTGAAGTCCACATGGAGAGCAAAGACACAGACTTCAACAAAGGAGGAGGAGGTGGCAGGCGGCGCTTCCTTCCTGAACCCAGACAGGCCGAACTACTGTGTGGGAGCAGTAGCTTGAGCTGCAGGTGCCGGATGACAGCTGCTGACCCCAGAGGCCTCCACTGAGAGGTGCACCACTGGATGGAGCAGTGGACACGGTGGACTGCACTGGCTGGTAAGCTGTTCCCCTTCCAATATCCTGCAGGAGAGGGTGATTGGTCAGGAGCCATCTTGGGGAGAGGCCCACTGAGCCTGGGACTCAGAGCGCCTAGCCGAATTCAAACCCACAGAGGGTGTGTGGACTGCTACAGGCTGGCTGGGCAGGTCTGGTTTCAGCCTGGCGGCCAGAGGTCAGACTGAACTTCAAAGGAAATAGGGTGCAGGCTCGCTGGGATTATCTGCTACTCTGCCATGGAGCTGCTGTAGGCTTGCTGGGATTGATCAACGTGGAGCTGGACTCTGTCCGCCCAGGCTGTCTACCAGTAGCAGCAGAGGCACACTTGACACGGACTTTTTTTTTTCTTTTTCTCTTGGTTTGTTTTTGTTTTTTCTTCACTGTTCTTGTTTTTATGAGTGTGAACACAGTTTCTACTTTTTTTGTTATTGTTCTGTTCTTGCTTTTATTTCTTCCTTTTCTCTTTCCCTCCTGTCTTCTTCATTTCCCAAAGTTTGTAGGATCTTCTGCCTTCCAGTAGTGCTTCTAATCTCTTCCTCTTCTTGTATTTCTCTATTTTTTCCCCTAAAACTTTTAAAATTTTCTCCCGTGAGCATAAAATTGCCATACTGAAGGCTTACTGCACACAATTTTCTGGCTTGTTTTATGGTCTTTTTTTTTTTTTTTTCCCCCTCCGGTACCGGGAACCGAACTCACGACCTTGCGCTTGCCAGGCAGGCGCTTTGCCGCTGAGCTAAATCCCCAGCCCCTCTGGCTTGTTTTAGATTTTGTTATATAATCACAAATCTATTTCATAGGTTAAAGGTGGCAAATTAATAGTTACCTCAGTCTGTCATTTTCTAGGCTGTGTTTGATGCTATGGTTACTGCTGATTGTACCACTTTAGCTAAAGTGACACAACTGTTCTAACCAGTTGCTCTTCCTGGTATACCAAGACTGAGACTGCCTAAGAGTCACTAAAAAATACATCCGGCTCACCAAACTCAGGGGACAATAAGGTGCAACAGTCTAAAACCTGGACCCTCTGAAGTGGTAATGTGAAAGTAACAAAGCAAATAAACAAGGTGATAGAGAAAAATCAAATCAGAAATAATTTCTCAGATTACAGAGATGGTAACCATAATGAAAGACATGCTTAGTGACTCTAGAGCAGATACAGATTAAAAAAAAATAGAGCTTAGGAAAATGATGGAAACCATGATGCCCTACATCATCAGGAAAGAAATGGAATCCATCAAACAGATTCAAACAGATATCCAGGAGATTAAAAATTCCACTGAAAGTATATGCAGCTGATGAGCCAATGTGAGGACATAATCTTA